TTTTTTTTTTTTTTTTTTTTTTTCTGTTGTGTACTGCTATGCTATCGTCTCTCTCTCTCTCTTTCTCTCTCTCTCTCTCTCTCTCTCTCTCTCTTCACGTCGGGAGCTCCTCACGTCACTCTATTGCTATCGTATCTCCTTTTTTTTCTTTTTTTTTAAATTTCAATCTCGATGCTACTCGTGGGGATGTTGCCATACCGGTTGCATCCTCCTCGCGCGTGCGGCATTGGTGACGCCAACACTTAATAATGCTCATCAGCTCTGCGTGGAAATCAAAGGCAGAAGAATTGATTGATCACATCGGATTGATCTTAACGAGGTCACGATGGTCGTCAAAAAATTCTTGACGAATCCGGTCAATCAAGCCTTCTTCCAATCATCAACGCGGTCAATGGATTTATTTTTGCAATCGATGAATGGACTGATTAAAGTCGGTGAATTAATTACTTTTAATTATTACTGATTAATCTCGGTTAACAATGACCGGTCATCAGTTAACAACGAGCGGTCATTGGTTGATTTCTCGGCTACTGTTTTTAAGTACTCGCGGCTACGATCGAGTATATAGTAGCGTAATTTAGTTAGTACATCGACATGCCACACACATGATCCGGTTTTTATCACATGTCATCATCTTACTCGAATCAAGCATTGCTCTCTGTTCCACACAAAGTAGACGTCGTTCAAAATATTGCTCCAGCAGTATTCTTCCTTTCCTCCGTCTCTCTCTCACTGCATCCCTCTCTCTCTCTCTCTCTCTCTCTCAGAGTGTGCAGGGAGAGAAAGGGGTGTTTCTCGCTCGCCTCTCTTGGTTCCCACCTTACCCTTTCTCCTTAGTGCCTGTCCCACCCGTCGTCGGGTCGAGCATTCCGCACTGCCAGATGTAAAACATCTGGCTTTTCCATCCTCTCTAGGATTGGGGGTAACTTTCACCCCCGCCCCTCCCTCCCCTTTTGCCACCCCTCTTCTATTTGGATAAATGAGAGTTTCTTTCACCACATTTCCTCTCCCTCCCTCCCTCCCTCCCTCCCTCCGTACTCCCCCGTTTCAGTGAAATGAGGGCTTACTTCCCCGCCTCTCGTCCTCTCCCTCTTAATTAGACTTGCCGGCGGTGGCTACCATCTTCTCCTCTCCCTTTTCGGTTAAATGAGGGAGGGCTTGCTCCCCCGCTTCTCTTCCTCTCCCTCTTAATTAGACTGGCCCGCCGCTACCGTCTTCACCCCAATAAAACGCTCGGTCATTAAAGCCCCATTCGGGGGACCCTTCCAGTGCAGATGCAGGGATATACTAATAATGATCCGGCGTTTTATTGGGGTGAACACCGTAGCACCGACAGCCTACCCTGACCCCTGTGTTCTCTGTTGACGTGCACAGGCAGTCGTCGGAGTCGGGACTAGAGGGCGGGGAAGAACGCGGAGCCGCCCCAGGGGGAATGAACACTACACAGATGGAGGAAGGCTCCAAAGTGGATGAGGGTAAAGCTGTGCCCTCCCCAAGTGGGGGGACTGGGGGGGGTCTCCCCCCTACCAATGACGGCGGCGCCACCCGTCCTCTCCCCTTGATTGCGACTGCCTTTCAGAACCTGGCCCCCCTTTTGCGCGCCGGGAGTAAGTCTCTTCCAGTGAGAGATTTCGCAGGCGCATGCGCCGAGGTCTCCGTTCTCTTCGGCCATCTTGGCATGGCATTCAAGTTTGCGGAAAAGGATTACGTCTCCAAGGTCCAGAGCTTGAAACTGGCAGCTGCAGAGTTTGATGCCCTTCCGTCGCTGTTGGATCACGATGTCGATCGGGACACAGTGCGGGATCCCGGCAGCCATACACGCAACCTGCTACGTGTCAAGCGAGGGTTGGAAATGGTGGAGTACCTGTTCCAATACATCTTGGAAGACAATGCCGCCTCGTTAGCAGACGCTGCCAGCCATGCGTACAAGCGCGCTCTGGCTCCGTACCATAGCTGGGCTATTAAGAAGGCCGTATGGCTTGGCATGCATACTCTACCTTCTCGCTCCAAGTTCCTCCAGAAGATTCACGAAGACCAAGACTCCTGGAAACCGTCTGCAGATGTGTTCGTCTCTTCTGTTCGTCCTGTCATCACGCATGTTGAAAGTCTGTTTCTCTCTAGAGACCTTGGAATTGATTGGTGAAGCAGAGTCTGATTGATTGATTGATTGATTGATTGGTTGGTTGATCCGCCTGCTTTTTGACGTACGTCGCTTTCATTGAACAAGTCCCTTTCTCCTCTCGTCATCCAATCAAATTGAGTGGATCGATTGATTGATTAATTGATTGGATTGATGATTGATTGATTGATTGGTTGGTTGATCCGC